AACCATCCTTAACTCCAGTTCTAGGGGAATCCAAAGCTCTCTTCTGACCTCCTCGGCATTGCATGACACAGGTACATTCACATACATGCAGGCAATACACTTATACACATAAGATAAAAATAATAAATAAAATAAAACTTTCCTTAACCACTCCTCACTCAAAGCCCTCCTGAAAACAATGCCAGAGAGATGGATGTCAAATACCCTAATGACTCATTACCAGGCACTTTTCCTAGATCAACCCTGTATAAGGTTTTAGAGAACCTCAACCCTCAACCCAGCAAGCCTGCTGCCAGATGAGGACCCAGAGGAACCCCCTGCATGACTGCACCAAGGAGACTGACCTGATCCAATGTACTGGACTGGATTTGACTGATGTCCCACTGCCAGAGGCAAATGAGGTATTATACATGTATGGAAACAGCCATCCAGAATAACATCAGGTATGCTGGGGCTGCAGTCCAATGGGGAAAGGACAAAGCCATCGCTGTGTATACCAACAGCTGGTATGCTTTTGCCATCATTCATGTGCATGGGGCACTGTATCAGTGGAGAGCACTCTTTCCAAAAAGACTCCATTGAGGCATAAGAAAAAAGGACAATGGGATCTGGCTACTTGGGAGATGGCCCTAGAAACCAGTGGGGCCCTCCAGGACCTGGTCACATTGCCAGAACCAAGCCTGCTCCACAAGCCTGCCTACATAACAGAGGAAAAAAAAAAACCTTGCCAAAAAGCCTACTTCTGTCCAAGTGCCAGAGGGAATATGTGTCCATGGCACCATCCCCAGGGAATAATGGGAACTGGACTTTTCTAAGATTAAATCTTCAGGTACAAGTATCTTTTTTTTTGGTCTTTTTGAGACGGTGTCCCTGTAGCCCCAGCTGTCCTGGAACTCACTATGTAGACCAGGCTGGCCTTGAACTCACAGAGATCCACCTGCCTCTGCCTCCCAAGTGCTGGGACTACAAGCATGTGCCACCACGCCTGGCTCAAAAACATTAAATATTAATTGGGAGTTACACTATGCCTATAGGCTACAGAGTTCAGGACAGGCAAAATAATAATAATAATAATAATAATAATAATAATAATAAACAGGACTTTATAGAAGACTCTAATCAAATTGGTTATAATAACAGGCAAAAGTTGGGCCAACCTCCTTCCCTTAGCCCTACTTAGAGCTAGGTGTATTCCATATCAGGAAGGATTACTAATCACTCTCTTCTCAAGTCATTACAGGCTCTGCAAAAAGCCCAGAGGGCCATCTATCAGACAGTATAAGGAGCTGGTCTCCAGTCTGCCTCAGAACCAGTCCACAAGTTCCAGTCCAGTGATTTGATATGGGGTCAGGAGAGTCCCAACTCAGACTCTGGAACCATCCTGGAAGGGCCTGTATCCTGTGATCCTTACTACACCTTTGACAGTAAAAGTAGCCAGAATCTCCTCATGGACCCATCATACTCAGTTAAAAAAAAAAAAAAAAAAAAAAAAAAGACAAACAAACAAACAACAACAATAACAAAAAGAAAATGGAAAATGGACTGTCACTCAGACCTCCAACCCTTTAAACATAAGACTGACAGGAATACCCTGATTGTTACAACTGTACTTTGGCTTCTTTTCCTCCCAGGGGAATTGCTCAGGATAACTAAAAATGGGAAAGTCCTTACAATTGTGACTATTGGAAAATAGTCTCAGTCCCAGTTACCCTGACCCCAAACCCTAAAACAGGCCTAAATATATATCTTTATCCAGTTTGAGGATCTGGGAGGAGGGTGTCTCTACATATTGGTCCACATTGCTCCTCAGGTAGGCCTTTATATGACTTTAGGAAAGACCTACTGCTTCTATACAAATCAGCCTAAAATTATCAGGAAAAACTTAACACTAGTCTGACAACTAATATCAGTCTTTATTTTCCTGGTCTCCATGGCTTACTACCCTGCTCACAGCCTTAGCTAGGCCTCTAGTCCTCCTACGTATAGCCCTGACAGTCGGATAATGAGTAAATACAGTAAAAATCATGGTCCTAAGAGAACAATATAATTTCCTAGATGAGTCTAAGATATGACTCGTGCCCATAGAACCAGTGGGGAATGTAATAGGGCACCTTCTTGACCATAGTTATGTCATGTTAAAGTTTAGGCTGACTTTAGTCTCTGAAATTATCAGGCAGTTGGACCAGAGTATGGGAACTCATGTCAGATGAACCCTGGTTGTCTTGGGAATAGGTCAGAGTATCCTGGAGTGCACCTGCTAACTGCAGATTTATGACTTCTGTAGGTTATGCTTGGCTTGCTTCTGCATAACAGCAATTGTTACTTAATAGGACAGAAATTGTTAAGGGGACTCTCCACCTGTAAACTTGGGAACTTAAGCACTTCACCCCTGGTTATGGTTTCTCTGTATAAAACCTTACCCTAGAGATGGCTCAGTGCTATACACTTGGGTTCCCGAAACCCTGGCCAGTAACAACTTTCATTTGGCAAAACTCTGTCTGAGTGGTCTTCTCTGGTGAAGCACCCCACAACACCATGTGGGCATCTTTGCCCCTGGGAAGCTGTTCCTTATCCAATATCCACTGAGGTTGTGCAGGAGTGCATTACTTTCTCACAGACCTTGCAGTTTCCCTAGCCCTCTTCTGGCTGTTGGAGATATGCCTGGGGTAAGACAGTAGGAGAGGAGAGTTAGACTAGGCCTTGCTCAGACTCTCAGCACCACCACACCGCCTGATTTTTATCAGGTGCTAGGGATCAAATCCAAGGCTTCATGAAGGTGAGGCACGCACTCTACCAACTGAGCTACAGCCCCAGGCCAGTCTTTTCTTTCCCATTTGTTCCCTTTCCCTTTTCTTTCTTTTCATGGAACTAGGAATAGAATTCAAGGTCTCACAAGTGCAAGGCAAATGCTCTACCACTGAACTCCATTCCTAGCTCAGAAATCCGGTGTCTGCCAGCTGAACCATACGTACTGTCTTCAGGACAGGATGTACCTGGGCAAGGAACAGAGCCCAGGCACTCCCTTGCTAATGCTGACTCTTCCAAATCCCCTTCCATAGCTTTCCCAGGTGTATTTTTCTTGTAGGACATTGCTAGTGATGCCAGCAGTTTGTTTCCACTGGTTCCCATGAGTTACCAACACTGTGGATCATCACCAAAGACACATGATGCTGTGGACCTGGAAAGGCCACCTCTAACTCCTCTGCCATGCCTCAAGTCGCCTTCATAGTTTCAGAGTAAGCTCAGCTCACACCACTGCCTTCATCTGCAGTGCTCCTGTCTCCACATTCTGCCATGGAGGGCCAGTAGCCAGGCTTCCTCTTCAAGAAAGTCTTCCCTGACTGCATCATGTACATAGAACTGATCCCAGAGCACGTGTTCTGTGTGTCTACCTCAGTGCAAAGCTGGGTTGGCCGTTCCACATGCAAGTATATCAGCTTGTTTGACTTCCGGGTGGCCAAAGTAGGTTGACTGAAGGTGATGAAAAGTCCCTTTGGAATCGACCAGAACTGATTAAAGCTTATGCTGGTCCTTTGCTTCCCAAATGACCTTGGAAAGTATTATTTGTTTTCTCTGAGCCAGTTTCCATGTGCATGTGATGAGGATGAAAACATTCTGCAACAGAAAGAGCCAAATGGGATCTACTATCTATTTCCCCTTTGCTTTTAGTAGTATACTTGTATGAATTTTAACTGGAATGACTGCCCATAAGAAAGACTGAGGGGATGGAGAGATGGCTCTGTGGTTAAGAGCACTGGCTGCTCTTGTAGAAGATCCAGGTTCGAATCCCAGCACCTATATGGCAGGTAACAACCATCCATAACTCCAGTTCCAGGGGATCCAATGCCCTCTTCTGACCTTTGTGGGCATTGCACTACATAAATGCACTTACATTTATGCAGGCAATACACTCATACATATAAAATAAAAATAAAGGCTGAGACCCATCCCCCCCTTGAAGCCAAACATGGTCTTGTGGCTAAATTTGGCCAATTTGACCTGAGTGGGAGTAAATTCCACTTCAGGTCTCAGACTATGCATGAGTCCTTTTCCTTTCTGATAACTGGAATGCTAATTTGAAGGTGGGAGCTACAGTAGCTATCTTGTGTTCAAGATGGAAGGTGCTCTGAAGGGTTTCAGAGTCACCCTACCAGCTTTAGACTGTCTACAGACTATTATTGAAGACAGAAACTTTGTTTGAAGCTCTGTGTGTATGTGTGTGTGTGTGTGTGTGTGTGTGTATGTGTGTATGAGAGAGAGAGAAAGAGAAAGAGGTGTGGTATATGCACATGGGTGTGTGCATGAATTCCTGAAGACAGATGATGTTGACTAGCTTTCATCTTATCTTTATACATATATATGTATATATGTGTGTGCATATGTATGTGAAGAAGACTATTGCATGCTGGCAAGTTGTGGACCACTGTTATGTTTCAGTGACTGTTGCTGTAATGCCTGGGCAGTAGAGCACATGCTGATGGCCTTCCCACAGTTTGAGGTGGGCCCATTCATTGTGCCTCAGAAGTTCTACAATCTGGGAGCAGGTCTAGGCCCCAGAGACACTGTACTATCCCCAACACACATGAAAAGGAAAAGCCTCCTCCCTGTTCCGTCCTCCTCCACCCTCCTGAGGGTCAATGCAAATGCTTTGAGAGAGGAAGGGAAATATGTTCGGGAAATCCAATAACCCATTACTGACCACTTTGGGGCCAGGATTGGGATGGAAGAGGCTGGAAGAAGAGGAAGGGAGGGGCAGGGGGAGAGAAGCCAGGGCAGCTGGGTCAGCATTCTTAATTTGGATGCTGACTCAGGCCCCAGGAATGCCAAGGAAGGAGGTGGGCAGCCACAGGAGCCAGGCTGGGATCCCGTTGGCCCTGGGAGACTCAGGGACAGTACTCACGGAGGAATAGGGGCTGGGCTCTTGCACACCCACACCCATCTCGCAAGCACAGGTAAGCTCAGGTATCTCTCCCTCTATGCACAAGTGAGGGCTCAATCCCATTGTACCTTTGAGATGACCCATAGGGTGCCCAGCTGCCTGACCACCCTTTCCATCTCCTCCACCTGAGAAGGGGACAGGCTCCCGGGACTCAAAAGGAGACATTTGGACATACCCTGGGTGCACTCTGGGGACAATCCACACTCCCCTCACCAACTCCCAGCCTCCTAGCATGTCCTTACTCATATCCCACCTGCACAAAAGCTTGCACGAGGAAGAAAGTGAAGGCCACCGCCTCCAATCTTCCTTCTTTGAAGAGGCCCCAGGGACACAAAGCCCACCTCCTCCCTCAGTCTCCCTGGGCCGCCCGCTCTGCAGCAGGACGCCAGTGGCCACTGCTCAGAGGAGCAGGTCCCGCGGCCCCAGGGGGCACCCCTTCCCTCCGCAGCGCCCCTAGAGCGTTCCCTACCGCAGCCTGACACCCAATCAGAGTGAATCCGATCCCCCGCCGGCCAGTCGCCAGGGGCCGGCCCAGAATAGTGCGCGGGGCCGGGCGGACTGTGCGCACTGGCTCGTAGACTGGAGCTGGCCGCATGGAGCCGAAGCTGGAGCACACGCTGCGCGGCGTATCTGGGTCCCAGGGGGCCGGAGCTGGGGCCAAAGAGGACAGCAGACGTGTAACTGTACGTGTGTAAGTGTGTGTGTGTCTGGCCCGTGTGCTTGTTTTGGACGCTCTGTGTGAGTGAGTGCAGGTGCTGTGCATATATGTTTCCTGTGTGTAAGTGCCTGTGTGCGGTTGTGTCTTCATCTAGGAGTGGTCAGATGCATGTGTTTATGATTGTGTGTGTGTGTGTCTGTGTGTGTGTGTGTGTGTCTGTGTATGGTTGTGCGTGTGTGTGTGTGTACTTTAAGAAAGGGATAATCGGGGGCTTTTGGAGCAGAAAGCATTTTCACAACACTTCAGACACTCTCTTCCATAGACCCCATCCTGGAGCTGCCTTGGGGGTCTAGAGGATCAAGGTGGGTAGACTGTGGATCCCTGTGGGCCTTGCCTTTTCTCCCATAACTCCTTGGTCCCCCATCTCCCTGGAACCCAATCCCTAACCCTAGCCTGGACCTTTTCTTCTCTTCTCCTTTCCCCAGTGTATGTCCCCAGCCTTTTCTTTTCTCTTTGCTGAAGATTTGAACCCCAGTGCTGACCTTAGGACTTTCCAGCTGTGTGATTTGTGATTTGTGGTAAATTGCTTAACCTCTCTGAGTTTCTGGTCCCTCACTACTAAATAGCAATGCTATTCTTATTTACAATACCTATTTTATAAGTTCTTATGAATAGGAAATGAGAAATATGTTGGGGGAAAATCTTTTGGCAGCTTGCCAGTATTACCAATGATATTGTAATGGACTTTGTTGTATTACTCTGTAATTAAACAGGTCCCTTTCCCCTTCCAGAGATGAACTTCCTACAGCAAGAAGAAAGTGCCTCATGGTCATCACCAGCTGTGGCTACCAGCTCAGAAAGAATCTATGCAAACAGGGGGGTCAAGGCTTCCAGATGGACAAGGCAGGAGGCTGTGGAGGAAGGAGAACCACCAGGTTTGGAGGAAGGTGAGGCCAAGGTCAGTTATGGTGGGAAGGGGCAGTGGGAATTCCAAGGCCTGGACTGGCCTCTGATCCATCCACCAAATAGAGTTGGGCCCAACCCTCATCTGTGGTCTCAGTCTCCCCACATGGGAGTGAACACTGTACTGCCGAACCCGGGCCCCAGTGTGGCCATCTCAGAAAGATGGATCAGAGTTTTTGTCTTCTGGGACACTGAGACTCCACAACATCCGGGTGCCTGGACACTGCCAGAACCCTGAGAGCACAGAGAACATGCTTTGGAAGATGAAGTTACTGTCCTCTCCCCTTTCTTCCTCAACAGGTGCCCAGTCCAGACCAGCTGCTGAGTCTGCCAGGCTGGAGGTCACATTCCCCAAGGCCACACCCTTGGCCCAAACTACTCCCTTGGCTGAGATGGAGACCCCTCCTACTGGGTGGGATCTCCTTTTGCCTGAGTGTGCAGCCTCAGCAGTGGGCTCCAGCACAGGTGATCTAGAGCTGGCCATCGAGTTCCCAGACTCAGAGGCCTGGGACTGTAAGCTTGAAAGCCTGGGGGACGAGAGGCCCCAGCCATGCCCATCCCCACAGGCCCCACTTCTCAGCCTGGGTTGGGATGATGAGCTACAGAAGCCTGGGGCCCAGGTCTACATGCACTTCATGCAGGAGCACACCTGCTACGATGCCATGGCCACTAGCTCCAAGTTGGTCATCTTTGACACCACACTGGAGGTGAGGCCCTCCACTTGAACTCAGGACTCAGCATCCTGTCTCTGTAGCCACCACTCCCTCCCTCCTAGACTCCCTGCCAAGCCATGGCCCCACGCAAGTTCCCTTCCAAGACTCATAGACTAGTAGGGAGAACATCCCCAAATTGTTATCACAGGTCTGCTGCTTCTTAGCATCTACCAAACCTCAGGTTAGTCACTTTATCTTCATCATCTCTAAAATGGGAATCAGGCTTGCTCTGCTCTGTTTCAAAGGAGTCACAGGACAACCCAGTACAAACAGGAGTATGCTATCAACTGTGAGGTATGTGTAAGACATTGCAGAGCTGCTCAGGACCAAGAGTAGGGTACTTAGGTAACAGAAAAACAGCATGTGCTCTAGTAGCTGCTCTTCCATTAGGCTAAACTTCCCTATTTTTATCACCGTTACCATGGCACGGATGATGCATATATGCTCAAGGCATGATATATGTGTAGTCCACAGTACACAATTTGGGTCTGGTGGTTCACAAAGAAATAGATTTTATTTTAATAGCTAAAATCTTGATGTGTGTTAAGCATTGGGTATAGTGGCACACACCTGTAATCTCACCACTGGGATGGTTAAAACAGGAGGGTCTTAAGTTCCAGGCTAGCCTGGGCTATGAAACCCTGCCTCAAAAACCAAACAACAATAGGAAAACAAAAGCAAGAAAAACTAGGAAGAAAAGAAGAAAGGGAGATAGAGAGAGGAGGGAAAAATCAAGAAATGGGAAGAAGAGAAGGAAGAAAAGAAAAAAGAAAAACAAAGTACGACCAGCAAATATAAGTAGTATTGCTTAGGATGGGGTTCAAAATAAGCCAATATAAAATTTAGAGGGAAAAAATTTCTGTAACTATGCAAATATTATGTGAATAATTGTACCTCTAATACTTAGATTAGCAAAAAAAAAAAAAAAAAAAAAAAAGAGCATGTCTGTATGCACATGACCTCCATATAGAAACCCTGGTGTGTCTGATGATGGTCCTTAGTGTCTCTGGGCACAAGGAGCCTTAACTATGTGGCAAATGTGCCTGATGTGATCATGTCATGGCAAAGAGGCAGACTCATATGCAGAAAGACCTGGGTGACCCCATGGAAGGAGCCTGGTGGGGACAGAAGAGGAGATGGCAGGTGGGCAGTAGAGGGGAGGATGAGGGCCTCTTGATATTCACCCTGCCACTGTTCTTTCCTGCCCCTCAGATCAAGAAGGCCTTCTTTGCCATGGTGGCCAATGGTGTGCGAGCAGCCCCTCTGTGGGACAGCAAGAAACAGAGCTTTGTGGGTGAGGAGAAGTGGTTGGGGGACCTCACATGGTGCAAGAATGCTGACAGGGTGGGGTCCTTAATGTGCCCTGCTCCCAAAGCATCCAGACTGACCTTGGCCCCTTGCAGGGATGCTTACCATCACAGATTTCATCCTGGTGCTGCACCGCTACTACAGATCCCCATTGGTGAGTCCTAAGGTATCAGGTGGGCTGGGATAAGAGGGTCTTCAGGAACCCTGCTTCCCCTGGGCTCATATCTGATCCCAAATCCTGCCAATGACTGTAGGTCCAGATCTATGAGATTGAAGAACATAAGATTGAGACTTGGAGGGGTGAGTTGGAGAGTGCTGGCTAGGGTGGGGTGTGTGTGCTGAGACTGGGACCCAAGGCCTGGGACAGAAGGTAGGATTTCCTGATGGGCACAAGGCAATGGAGGAGCCTCAGGTGCTCACAAAAAGGGACACAGTCTGGAGTCAGGGTGAGGCAGTGGCAGCTACCGTGGCCTGACTTGGGTTTTTCTGCAGAGATCTACCTTCAAGGCTGCTTCAAGCCTCTTGTTTCCATCTCTCCCAATGACAGGTAAGTATCCCCACTGTTTTTGTTACATTTAATTAATTAATTAATATATATATTTATTTATTTATTATTTATGTGTGTGGTGGGGGGTGAGTGCCACAGTGTGCATTTGGAGGTCAGAAGACAACTTGCGGGAGTAGGTTTTCTGGTTCTCTTTCCACCATGTGGGTCTGGAGGATTGAGCTCTGGTCATCAGGCATGGTGGTAAGTGCCTTTATCTGCTGAGACATCTTCACCAGCTCATCTGAGCCCCCTGCACTGTGTGCTTGTCCCATCCCACTCAGTCATGAACTCACTTCTCCCTGGAACCAGAGAGATAAGGGGACTTTGGTGCCCTATGCTCCTGTTTAAGGGATTTGAATAGAGGGTCTCTCCCACACTGCTCCCAGTCTCATTTGCGCCCATCCCTTCAGTCTATTTGAAGCCGTCTATGCCCTCATCAAGAACCGGATCCACCGCCTGCCCATCCTGGATCCAGTCTCGGGCACTGTGCTCTACATCCTCACACACAAGCGACTACTCAAGTTCCTACACATCTTTGTGAGCCTGGGACAGTGAGGAACAAGGGGGAGCCATGGGGAGACAGCCATAAGGGTCAATGTCTAAGCCCAGGCAAGGGGAGGGAGGAGTTGGAGACTTCTGGGGCTGCTTGACCTCTGATCACCACCCTGTCCCCACAACAAGGGTGCCCTGCTGCCCCGGCCCTCCTTTCTCTGTCGAACTATCCAAGATTTGGGCATTGGCACATTCCGAGATTTGGCTGTGGTTCTGGAAACAGCCCCCATCCTGACTGCTCTGGACATCTTTGTGGACCGACGCGTGTCTGCACTCCCTGTGGTCAATGAATCTGGTATCTGCACCCGGGGATAAGGACAAGCTAGGGTGGGCAGACTGGAACACATGGGCAGGGTGTGGAGCTGGAATCTCCTTGTCATCAGCTTGGGACCCAAAGTGGAATGGAATTAGAAGTCTCTGACTGCTCTGAGCCTTGGACAGTTACTTTGGAGATAGGGTCTTACCCTATTACCCAGGAACTTACTGTGTAGCACAAGCTGGCCTCAAACCCACAGCAATCCTTCTGCCTCTGCCCCTCAAGTGCTAAGATTATGGACATACACCACCATGCCCCATGTATGAAGGGGTATCTTAACATCTGTCTTTCTGACTTTGAAGGAGGAATGGTAAGGTTTTCTGTGATAAGATGAATATGGTAGCTGGGTATGGTAGTGCATGCCTTTAATCCCAGCACTCAGGAGGCAGAGGCAAGCAGATCTCTGTGAGATCAAGGCCAGCCTGGTCTAACTAGTGAATTCCAGGACACCTGGGGCTACAGGGAGACCCTGTCTTTTAAAAAAAAGTTATGATAGTATATAACTATAGATTTTGTTTTGTTTTGTTTTGTTTGAGTTTATCCTAAAATGGCCATGGGTTCTTGGGTCCCAGCCTGACCTCAATGTCTTGTTCTGGAAAGGGTCAGAGGGACAGCAAGAATATTTCTTTGATTAGACTATGGCTACAAAGTACTTCAAAGTTGGGGTTGGGAGATGGATCAGTGTATAAACTGCTTTCCACATAAACATAAAGACCAGAGTTCAGATTCCCAGCAACCACAAACGCTGGGAGGGTATGGATACCTGCCTGAAATCCCAGGGCTCAGGAGGCAGAGTCAAGGAATCCCTGGGACAGCTGACTAGCTATCTGAATCTTTAATTCAGGTTCATCAAGAGACCCAGCCTCAGTAAGTAAAATGGAAAGTGATAGGGGAAGATATCTGACATCAACCTCTGGCCTACACACACACACACACACACACACACACACGCTCATTCACTAAATAATTTAAAATGTTTTAATTTTAAAAATAATTCCCACCTTCAGATTTGTCCATTTGCCTCCTAAAGATGCCCTGTGCCTTGTTCCTCTGTTCTTGTTTGCTGTAAACCAGAAATGGGACCTAAAGGTCTAATGGGTTCAGACTATGAGGCTGGAATACTTCACAGGTGATGTTATGTTTTGCTATTGCATCGCACACTGAGGCCTGAAGCTAGGTATCCCACACATGATGCTAATTTGATCTATAGGTAGGACAGCCTGATGCCCCCTTACTAAATCAGCAGCCTGGGGACTGTCCAGGGGTTCATTCCAAAAGCCTGTCCCAGTTCCCCTGCACAGCACCCTAGTTCTGAACTGGGCCTCTTCCATGTCTTTTCTCTCTCCCCCTACAGGTCAGGTTGTGGGCCTCTACTCCCGCTTTGATGTCATTGTAAGTGACTGTGGAGACTGCGGGTGCTGCAGGGAGGCTGTAGTATAAGATCAATGGGAAGTATCTGTGTATACCCTTTGCAAGTATGTTGGGGTACTGTCTCGACACTGCAGCCAAGTGTTGAGGTGACTCATGGCTCTCTTCTCCCTACCCCAGCACCTGGCTGCCCAACAAACCTACAACCACCTAGACATGAGCGTGGGAGAAGCTTTGAGGCAGAGGACACTGTGTCTGGAGGGGGTCCTCTCCTGCCAGCCCCATGAGAGCTTGGGGGAAGTCATTGACAGGATTGCACGGGAACAGGTACTGTGCCCCTCCAGGCATGCCCTCAGCACAGATGGCCTAGTTCTTCCTTGCATAGTTCTTGCCATCCCTGTCTACTGGGCACTTGGCCTGCTCTCCCTTTCATAACCAACTTTTGGCATCTGCATTGGTAGGCACCTGGTCCTCTCCATGGGGCTCTCATGCCAAGGTCCACAGCCAGCTGAGTGGTCAAAGCCTTGGCCAACTGGTTCCCAGGAGATGTCTTCTTGCTTCTTGAACTGAGTCAGATTTTCCCCTGCTTCTTGAGACTGGCTTTATTAGCTGTTATAGTCCCAAAGCTCTACACCTCACTGACTGAACACTGTGGACCCACAGGTGCACAGGCTGGTGTTAGTGGATGAGACTCAGCATCTTCTGGGTGTGGTTTCCCTCTCTGACATCCTTCAAGCCCTGGTACTCAGTCCTGCTGGGATCGATGCCCTCAGTGCCTGAAAGTGCCGGAGTCCTCACTCCCATCCCATCTTCCTCACCTGAAAACCAATGAATGGATCTGGGGGACTTGGCCTTCATCTTCTCCCACCCCACTTTTCAGGTTCTGCTCTGGTACAGGTAGGCTCTACCCTGAATCACTGGGCCAGCCCCTCTATTATTTTGGGTTCCTAGCTCTCAAGTTAGGGTACGCTGAGGGTGACAGTGGGACCAGTCATAACTGAGCAGTCCCATAAAAACCATCAGTATGCTGGGTGTGATGGCACATGCCTTTAATCCCAGCACTCAAGAGGCAAAGGCAGGTAGAACTTTGTGAGTTTGAGAATAGACTGGTCTACAAAGAGAATTCCAGGCTAGCCAGGGTTACATAGTGAGACCCTGTCTTAAAAAACAAACCATCAAAAAAAAAAAAAATCCTGTCAGGCAGATCTCTGTGAGTTCAAGGCCAGCCTGGTCTACATAGTGAGTTCCAGGACAGCTGGGGCTACAAGGAAGACCCTGTCTCAAAAAGACCAAAAGAAAAAATCCTGTCAATATAAGACTTACAGACCACCACTTTGTCCCATTTTCAGTTGAGGTCAAGGAAGCCCTCCTAGGAGAGATGGATTGAGGAGCTGACAGAGCTCTGGGAAGATTTAGCTGCTTTCTCCCCATTTAGTTCCCATTGCCTGGAGTTGGATGAGAAGGCAGCAAGCTAACCTTTGTTGAATGACATGTCCATCCTCAGTAAGAACTAGCACAGGAGGAAGTTTGCAGCCACTACTTATTTCAGTGAATTTGATATGATTGCAGACTGACCTGGTGAAATGTTTGGTAGGCAGGAGGGATTGCCAAAGGATGAGTCACAAATTCCACCCAGTTAGCAGTGGATGGCAAGACTCTCCTTTTGGGAGGCATTTCCCCTTCCTTATTTGGTCAATGTCTCCACTTTTTCTCACAGGCTATCCAGCTTTCCCTAATTGTCCTTGCTGTGCCTATCCTCCCAGATGCTCTTAGGCATGCCCAATGCACCAGAATGACAAAATGAAGAACAACCAAGTCAAGCCTGAACGTCCCTGAACCAGAGGCACTGTGATTACCTTCAGACCATCTGTGCTCCCTGTCTCTGCATATGCCTTTTTCCAACACCTGGGTCAGGGCTCTATATGACAGTGAGTGTGCAGTCTGTGGATTTACTTGGGGGGGGGTCTGGATTTCTTGGCTTCTGGACCATGAATATTCATGCCTCCGCTCCTGGGAGCCCCAGCTGGTCTTTCTCCATGGGATCCATCACTTTGCCACTACCATCCTACTCTCCTGGCATTTCAGGGCTTCTGGAGGTCACCATATAGCAGTCCTTAATTCTAGAGCTGCCTGTTGTCCAAGCTCCTTAGCCCTCACCAGTGAGTAGTGTTCTTGATCCCCAATGACAGATGGTCCTGTATTCAGATCGCTGAGAATGGGCAATTGAGAAAAGAGAAACAAAAGAGTAAGCCGTGAACTTGGATTTTATAGGTTTACTTAAACGCTACTGACAGTCATTGAACTTGAACTTGTGGCAAGCTGATTATGTCTTCCGAATTCAAAGGCTTGAAGGAAAGTCTGCAACTGACAAAAGCTGCAAGTGGCATTTCTTTGTGTATAGAATGCTATTCTGCCCACTTTTTAAATCTTTTGTTTATAGCAAAATGATAAAGAAAACATTTGACTACTCACATTTATAGGTAAGACCTGGTCCACAAACTTATCTGCAGGAATCATAACTTTGTTTCTCTAACACTAAATGGAATTTGTATGATGAATTACATTTCACCAGGTAAAGAAATGAATCTCAGTCAATCCCCACCTTTCCTGGGGCTGAGCTTGGTGGGTAGGGGAGGCTTGAGGCAAAGCTTTGTTCCTCAGTTACCGGCATCCATCCATTGCCAGCATCCAGCCAAACTTCCCTGTTCTCGACTGATTGCCGGTTGGTTGGCCACTGGTGTGCACAGTCACTGTCCTGTGAGTACTCCCAAAGTCTCTTTGGGGCTGTCTGACATGGACCCTCAGGAACTTCCTGCTCCTAGCCTTGTAGTCCTCTGAGATCCATGAAGCTCTGAGAAGCTGTCCAGGTCTGGCTGCTGAAATCTGGTCTGTTCTTCTGTGTCTCACTGTTTTCCCAGGTTCCACCCAGGGCCATGGGCTTGTCTCAGGGACCCAAGAAGAATCTACAGCATCTTTGTTCCCAACCCACCCCAGCTAGGGAACCTTACCAGTGAGGGATGAGGGGACCTTTGCTCTCTGACCCATTGTGGATTCCATTGGATGTATCCTGAATTCTTATCATCTACATTGAGAGTCAGGCTTTTGGAATTCCAGAGTCAAGACTGGGTTCTGGTATCACTCTCCCCTGTGGTAATGTGGACCCTCATATCAGGTGGTCCGATGCAGGAAGAGTGGATTAATATTTCTATAATCTTAAATTTTTTTTTCATTTACTTTTTTGTGGGTATTTCTGTGTTGGTGTGTGTGTGTGTGTGTGTGTGTGTGTGTGTGTGTGTGAGAGAGAGAGAGATGAGAGAGAGAGAGAGAGAGAGAGAGAGAGAGAGAGAGAGAACGTGCCATGGCACAGGTGTGGAGTTCAGAGGACAACTTGTAGGAGTTTGTTCCCTCATTCCACCAGGTGGGTCCCATGGATAAAACTCAGATCATCAGGCTTGACAGCAGTCCCCTTTACCTACTAAAATGTGACCCAGAGTTAGGATGAAGGCATTTGTACTTGAGTCATCAGACAGTAAACAAATGAATTTTCTCACTAGACACTTTGCCAAAACCCAGGGTTTGGTGCCCACTGTGTTCCAGCTCTACCCAGAAAGACCTCCCTTGGCCCAGAGAAGACAGGATGGGGTTTTCTGGGCCTAACCAAAAAGGCTCTTTCAGATAACAGCTATGGTTAGCTCTGGGAAGTGTTAGAGGTCAACTCTTGAGACTGCCTGTGGAGAGAGACTCTCAGTGGCAACAGCAAGGCTGAGGGAGGCCTTGGATCCTTCCCCTGGCCCCCTTGTGCCTTCCTTAGAGAACTCTACCTGCCTGGGGGCACTGTCCTGACGATCCAACAAGTTATGAGTACTTCTGTGAGATGTTATTCCACCCAATTGCCTCAAACCCCACCTTCGATGGAGCTCCCTCCACTCCCAGCCCAGTCCTGACATCCCTCATAGCTGCCAGAAGAGAGCCATTGACTTGCCATAATGTCCTTGCACAGAAGTGTCCTGTGTGTCACCTGCCCCCCTCCACCCTCTCATTCCTGCATATGAACCAAGGCTGAACTGGCATCATTGCCTCCATGCTCTGCTCTTCCTCTGAGGCCTCTCTTGATTGTCTGTGGCCTCTAAGCTGGATTCACAATGTCTCCTTTGGTTTCTCTTTTCTACCATTCACAACCTTTGATGTGCTTCTGGTCATCAAAGAAGCTTTGCTGACGTGCAGGGACCAGAGCCTCATTCCAAGAGATCCTCATTTCCTGAGCTGAGGTGGAAATTCTGTTTTCTGTAAAAACTAGAGACTTAGAAGGCCAGCCTGGTCTACATAGTGAGTTCTAGGCCAGCTGGGGCTACAGGGAGACCCTGTCTCAAAAAGACCAAAAACAAAATACACACACAAAAACAAGAGACTTAAAATTACTGGGACTAGGGAGATGGTTTTGTTGGTAAAGTGCCTGTGGTGCAAGCACAAGGACCTGAGTTTGGATCTCCAGCACTCATGCAAAAGCTAGGTGTGGTTGTACATGACTGTAACCCTAGGGCAAGAGTATATGTGTGAGTGTGTGGACAGTGGATTGCCAGAGCTTGCAGGCTAAGACAATTTAACCAGTCAGTGAGCTCTGCCTTCAATGAGAGATCCTGCTCAGCAGTTAAGAGCATATGTTGTTCTTGTAGAGGATCTGAGTTCCATTCCTAGCACCCATATTAGGCAGCTCAGAACTGCTTGTAAATCCACCTCCAAGAGATCTGATTCCCTCTTCTGGCCCTCTTGGACACTCACACACACAGCAGACACTCACACACACACACACACACACACACACACACATACACATGAATAAAAATTTTTAAATAAATCTTTTTTGTTTTGTTTTTTGAGACAGGGTCCCTGTAACTCACTATGTAGAAAAGGCTAGCCTTGATTTCACAGAGATCTGTCTATCTCTGCCTCCCGAGTGCTGGAATTAAAAGCATGCACCACCACACCTGGCAAAAAATTAATCTTTAAGAAAAACAAGGGCATGGCTCAACATTTTCATATTCATGAACATTATAGCTAAATCAGACTATCCAATATAAACATCACCTCTTGGGCTTATTATTTTGTGTGTGTGTGTGTGTGTGTGTTAAGAACACTTAACATTTATTCCATTGGCAATTTTCAAGTCTATGTTATTAATTATAGTGATAACTATTGTACCATGACATATACAGATCTACTGAATTTATTCTTCTTAAAACCATCATTTTAGTCTCTGATCCTATGACTGACTTTTTCAGACACCACCTATAAGCACATAGAATCAACACACTATATGTACACGGCTTATTTCAATTAAGGTAATGTCCTCCAGATTCATTCATGTTGTCACAAGTAACAGGATTGCCTTCTTTTTATTTAATTTAAAATGTTAATTTTGGGGGCTGGATAGATGGCTCAGCGGTTAAGAGCACTGACTGTTCTTACAGAGGACCTGGGTTTGATTACCAGCATCCATATGGAGGCTAACAACCATCTGTAGCTCTGGTTCCAGAGGAATCTGATACCTTCTTCTGATCTCTGTGGGTATTGCATGACATGAGCGTACTTACACACATGCAGACAATACACTCATACACAAAAAATAAAAAAAATGTTAATGTTTAATTATATGTATATGTGTCTATATGTGGGTATATGCACATTAGTGTGGGTGCCCACAAAGGCCTGGGCTGTCAGATTCCCCTGGAGCTATAGTTATAGGTAGTTAGGAGCAACCCAACATGGGTTCTGGAAACTGAACTCAGGTCCTCTGCAAGAACAGCACACACTCTTGCTATGATGTTGTTTCACCAGAGAAGACCAGTTAGACTTGGCTCCAAACTGAAAGGGGCTGGATTTATAGCTTCTGGAGGGGGAAGGCATGTACAGCTGGCCTGGGAAACGGCCAGGTGTACAGAGTGGATGCTCTGAAGAAGGGAGACACAAGGAGGAGACAGAGAAAGCACTCACCATCCCCCAGAAGTACCAGGGAGGCCAGGACATTGAGTACCAGGAATAGCAAGTTCCCTAGGAGGATGTGATAGTTGGTGAAGACAAGGTTATTTCAGGAGGGGACAGTGAATGCAAAGCCCTGAGACCATGTGGGCCATAAAGTGCTTGGGGAGATGCCCGGCTGTTGGGCTTAACTATGGAAAGTGTGTCTCCAGTGGGTATTGGCGTGGGGGGTGGGGAAACAGTACCAGGGCAGCTTTGGTCTTAGGAGAGCTTTGAATTTGGCCTGAGGGCTGGGAGAGCCACTGACAATTTGAATCAAGGCAGTGATGGAAATTTTTAATGGATCTAATCCTAATCCCATAAGCATAAAAAAAGTCAACTTTACTATTTTCTATGACCCAGAAAAAATTTACTTCTGGAGTTGAGACTCACTGAGTTTCCAGGATTGATGCTGTGCTGTGCTGGTCTCCATCAATACCAATTCCCTTTTCTTCTGATGGGCTTGCTATTTGAGGGGCACTGGAGAGCTAAAAACTCCAATTCCCAGCCTCCCCTGCAGTTTGTGGGCAGGATATGCAAGGGATTTGGAGGATAGGAGTGAGGACATTTCTTTCTAGGGTCAAGGATGATTGAGAGGCATCAGTAGAAGTCCATATCCAGGTCCAAAGTCACTACTGACTTCAATAGCTTCTGTCAGGCAGGGTGACTCACATACAGCCTTTCAGTGCTAGAGCCACTAGTTACACATGATAACTTCTCAACTCTCAGCCTCCTAATTGTGGCCCAGAGAGTAAAGTGCTCCATTGGAGGAGGCCACTAGAGTCTAGCCTAAAGCACTTCCAGCAGATTTGCAACCAACTCTTCCCTCTCATCACATTCTCTCAAAAGTGGGTACACTTTATTTTTATTACATTTATTATTATTTGTATGTGTGTATGTGTGTGTAAGTCAGAAGACTTGTAGGAGTTGGTTCTCTCCCTCTACCATGTGGGGATGGAACTCAGGTCAGCAGACTTAGCCATAGGCTCTTTACCTGCTGAGCCATCTCATTGACCTATTTTAAGATTTTGTTTTTAATTCTATATATGTGTGTATGCCTGTGTGTATATGTTCATGTGAGTGCAGTGACCATGAAGGCCAGGAGAGGGCAACATATCCTCTGTATTTGGAGTTACAGGTGGTTGCTAGCCACCATGTGAGGGCTGGAAACCAAACCCAGGTCTTCTGCAGGAGCAGGTAAACACTCTTAACCACTGAGCTGTCTCTCCAGCCGCTATTTTAGTTATTATTTAATCTTATATTTTATGTTTGAGATGGGGTCTCTGTTGAGCTCTGGGCTCAAGCAACCTGCCTACCCCAGCCTCCAACATCGCTGGGACTACAGTGCACACCATGACACCTGGCTGATGACTTTGACTGTCTACAACTGAAGTGGATTGTCTCAGTGCCCTTCTTGGATGTCCACAATGGCTTTCCATTGAATAGAAGCATGTGGTACTTTCAGGCTCCAAGGAGGGGATCCAGCAGGGCCACCCACCATGACTCCAAGATGCAGAAAGGCATCTGCCAACTAGGAAAAGCATTAGATGCTGAGTGAACAAAAAGAACAAAGACTCCCCCCAAAACTAGTATTCTAGATTTTATTTAAAATTTTACCCAATGGCATCAATGCAATATGAGGCACTCTATTGTCTGAGTGGCACTGCTTAGTGGTAATCAAGTCAGAAGTTTAAGATATGTGGGAAGGGCACAGAGCTCCTCTGTTGAATCTGAAATCTTGACATTTGACATGAGCTTGGCCAGGGGCTGCTGTGCCAGGTTTCTGTGCAAGCCCATAGAGGTAGCCCATCTCAGCACTGTCTCTGCAGGAAGCGCAGGCTCACCTTCTTGTTGGGAGTCAGGACAATTCGGGCCATACTCTTCACCTCCCCCATCCCAGAGGCTGGGACCACCTCATACTGTTGTATCAGCTAGCAGGGAGAGAGAGGGCAGAGGCTGGTAGGATCTTGATCTATTGCTTGCCCTGCACATGTCTACCCTGGACTTCCCTGTCTTGCCTCCCCTTGAGTTCCTCTACCTTCCTTACCTGACCCACACAACCCTCCCACCCATCTCTGCTCACCCTTGACAGCAGCAGTTGCATCTCCAGCTCTGCAATCCTGCGGCCCAGGCAGGCCCGGACCCCATAACCAAAGGGCACAGAGCCAAATGGGTGTTGGAACTTGTGGTTATTAGTCCCGTTCTTCCTCAGCCATCGGTGAGGCTGGAAGCTCTCAGGCTCAGAAAAGACACTGGGATCCCGGGACACCACATAGTGGCAGAACACAAACTGGGTCTACAGAGGAAGAACAGACAGAGTGACCCATCAGCAAGGACTACAGGCACTCCTGGGCTGGTGGGCTCTCTAGCCCTACTCACATTCTTAGGGAAGATGAAGCCATCAATTTCAGTTTCCTTTTCCACCATTATCCGGGAGTTTGTGGGGACCACAGGGTAGAGGCTGCAGGGAAAAGAAAGTCTAGGCTTTGCATCCAGATTGGGTACAAGAGAGTCCGACTCCTCCCTGCTTTCTGGTGCTTGGCTTCAATTCCCATCTCATTCTTGACCCTAGGCCCCAGCCCCAGGTAGCCCCCACTTTCCATTCCTGTCTGATTACTACCACATAAAAACCCAATCACATGGCATTACATCCTACCGCAGGGTCTCCTTAATCACAGCTTTGAGGAGAGGCATGTGGGCAAAGTCCTTGTGCTGGGGCACCTTCCCAAAGGGTACCACACCCACCACTTCCTTGTGCAAAGCCTCCTGGATCTCTGGGTTCTTTGAAAGGTGGTACAGGGCCCATGTCAATGTGTTGGATGTCTAGGAGACAGAATGGGAGATGAAGAGAGGGGGCAATTTCTAGGGAAGAGGCTGGTTAAATAGTGGGAGGGTTGTATGAGTGGGTGTGTATACAATGTAAGAGAAAGCTGGTTTGCCACCAGGATGGAAAAAGAGATGAGGGTTCCTGGGGACCCACAGATGGGATGAGGACTGATGTAGAGAATAGAGAAGATGGTACCTCAGCTACAGAAGGGACCATAATAAGGAGAAAATGTGAGGCAAAGCACTAGAAATGGGTCCCCTGGGGACAGTAGGTACTGCTAACTCTCCACCTAACTTGCAGCAAGATGAAATTATATGAGGTGAAATCTCCCAGCTGTCACACAGAGCCAGAGAACCCAAGAGTTGGTAGAACTTCCCTTAGAAAAGGGCCAGCTCTGCCTGCCTCATCTGGGCCAACAACCATAGTGATGCTGGAGAAGCTGAGAGATGAAGGTCAGGATCAGGTGGGGGTGACGGGGAGTTGGTACAGGACAGAAATTTCTCACAGTGTCCACACCAGCCAAGAGCAATTCAGGAAATGTGCTGATGGCTTCTTGATGACTGAGGAGTTCCTTGGTCAGCAAGAAGTACAGGTAGCCAGATACCTGGACCCCATCTGGCCCAGCTGCCTGTAACTGGGCTTCAACCTCCTTGACTTTCTGATTAATCAGCTTCTTCCCTGCAGGAGCCACGGAAAGAGAAGATGAGGTTTAAGCCACCCTGAGAGCTTGGTGGCATGAGAGAAGGACTTCAGAGAAGCCATCTTCCTTCCCTGGCCCAAGACCGGGACACCTCACCAAAAGAGAAGATGACGTCCCAGCTGTTCAGGTATCGCCTCCAGAAGGGCAGCAGGGGACGAGTCCATTTGGGAAGGAAAGTGAGATAGACCGAGTTCTTGAACATGAGCCCAACAGATCTGATGAAGGTGGAGGTGTCCTTGGGGATGGAGGGCTCCAGGCAGCCAATCCGTTTCTCAAAGAGGATGTAGCAGATGGCTGGGAAGTACAGAGGCATCCCAGCAGGCAAAGCCATGGGACAGAGAATCTAGAGCCTAGAAGAGCCCATTTCTGCCCCCAGCCTTTCCCATCAAGAGTACCTTCCAAGGCAAAGTGGTAGAAGAGGTGAGCCATATCAGGTACCAGATCCCTGGAGGCACTCTCTGCTTGCACCTGGTCCAGCCGAGTTATAAAGTCATCAATCACCTCGTTGAATGCATCTGTGTAGAGTGCAGCTTCGGCTGGCTTCAGCAGTCGCTGGTTCAGAGCCTGGCGTAGATGGTACCACTGCTCTCCCTGTCTGAACATGGAGAACAAGCACAAGTAAGCATGAGACGAATAAATGGGATCTTCCCACCTCAAGGTCCTCATAGAGTTGAGGGAAATCTCAGACTCTTAGAGTTTAGGATAATGCAATCACCACCAACTTTAAATGATGTAATCTAAGAACCACAAAACTACCAAGTGTGGTGGCATACACATGTAATTCACCTGTAACTTGGTAGGTAGAAGCAGAAGGAACAGGAGTTCAAGAGCACGCTCTACTACAAAGTGTTTTTTGGGGGTGCCTGAACTGTATGAAACTCTGTCTCAGAAAAGAAAGAAAAGAAAAGAAAAGAAAAGAAAAGAAAAGAAAAGAAAAGGGAAGAAGGGGGGACCACAAAACCAGAATCTTGCTCTTTTTTTTTTTTTGAGACAGGGTCTCATGGCCGTGAACTCTCGATCCTCCAATTTCTACATCCTAAATGCTGGGATTCCCAGTGCAAACTAGTTTTTAAACGCATACAAGTGAATATACTTAGAAAAGTAGCTTAACTAGGCGTGGTAGCACAGGCCTTTAGTCCCAGCACTGGGGAGGCAGAGACAGACAGATCTTTGTGAGATCGAGGCTAGCCTGGTCTACATAGCAAGTTCCAGGCCAGCTGGAGCTACAAAGAAGCCTTGTCTCAAAAACACCAAAAAGAAATGACTTTAGAATAGTAAATATAACTAGACCCCCAAAGGGTCCTACATCATGCCCAGCTGCAATTCTAAATCTGAGCTGTCAAGTCAGATCCAGGTGGCCCCAATCTAGCCCTCAGGGTCAGAGGTCAAGTAAGGAGGTCTGAACATTCTTCTCTTCCTAGAACTTCAAAGGTCCTAAGAATTTTTTGAGTTCTGAAACTGTCCTTCTGTAAAGAAGACAGGAAAAAGAAAGACTTGCTTGAGTAAAGCTATGGACATCAAAGACAGCTACAGTGAACCTTGTGATCAAGTCATTTTCTTTCCCAAAGTATCAAGGCTATGGTCCAGAATCAGGCAGTCATACCCTAGCACTGGCTAGGTGTGTCAGCTCTGACACATGATGTAAAACCTCCCTTGACCTCAGTTTCTCCATCTATAAAACAAGGATAATAATACTATCCATTCATGGGCTTGTTGTGAGGGTGAAATAAAGTCAGGAATGTCAAGAGACCAGCCTGAGGCCTGGCATACCCAAATACCTAGTTATGATCACTGTAGAAGCTATGGTTGTCAACTTATCATGAATAGTTTGGAAAGCCACTTGCTGGTTTGGGAGTTTATTGATACAGTGTACCCAAAAGAAATCTGAACATACCCAATTACAAGCTGTGTCATTGGCAATAGTTTATCACCAATAATTCCCATTATCTACTTCAGTGACCTCAGAACTATATAACATAAACTTCAAAATATAACATCCTTCAAAAGCCCTTACCAGAATAATATTAAATTTTCTAGACATAACTGAAACCATTATCTATCTTTGTATGTGTGTGTGTGTGTCATGTGTCTATCTGTCCATCTGTGTGTCTATGTGTGTGTAGGATATCCATAAAGCTTATAGCCAACAATTTGTTAATTTCATAAAGTATGTCTCACAGTGAAGTTAAATGGAGCCCTCTCAACTAAATGGTAATGATACTTTCTCAACTACAAATCAACATATTTCAACCACAATGTAAAAATAAAAAAGGATCTGAAGCCAGACCTAATGGTACAGACCTATAATCCCAAACTGTTTAGGACAACTTAGTAAGGCCCTGCCTCAAAATTCAAAGTCATAGAAAGGGCTGGGGATGTAGCTGAGTGGTAGAGTACTTGCCGAGCAAGCATGAGGCCCTTGGTTCAAGCCCCAGCACCACAAACAAACAAACAAATCTGAAAACATCTTTGAAAATGTTCTAGTACAAACAGGCTACTTTACAGATCAGAAACATAAATACAAGAAAAAAGAAACTATTCACCTATCCAAAATGACACAATGCATTAGTAGGAAAAAGTGTCCCTGGGTTTCAGCCCACCCCAATGTCAGCTTTCTAGTCAAGCAGCAGGCTCAGAGAACTCAGGGAGGCCTCTCTCTGCCCTGCATCTGACTGTTGCCTGTGCCCACTCTCACCCTGGTCCTTTGGTACCCTGTTCCAGTCCCTCCAGACCCAGCTCACTTGATGAAGAGCCCATAGGGGAGGCTCTGACGATCCCGGTGCTCCTTCCATAGCTCCATGTGGTCCCTTATGGGGTACTTGCCCTCCTGCCGCATCGCTTGCTCTATGAGTGGGGCACTGGCCAGGTTCACAAAGGATTGAAGCCCAAAGGAGGACATCCACATTGGACCATACTTGGCTTTGTTCATCACCTGTGGGAGTCAACCAAATGGAATAACTGGGATCTAGACAAGCAGACATTTCTGGGGGAGGAAATGGGATGAGGAAGGGTCTGATGGCCACACCAGAGCCAATGGATAGTACAAAAGTGCACTGCACAGGAGGTAGGCACTGTGGTGGCTGATGGCTCTGTCACCAGAGATAGAAAAAGATCCATGTCCCTGTAGGGGTGGCAGAGGGAGGGAGGTGGGAAAATGGGGGAGGGGATGTCGTAGATTTATATGGAAGCACAAGAGACCCCGGATAGCCAAAACAACCCTGAGAACTAAGAGCAATGCTGGGGGGATTACTATACCAGATTTTAAGCTCTACTACAGAGCTATAGTCATAAAAACAATATGGTACTGGCATAAAAATAGACCCATAGACCAATGGAACAAAATTGAAGACCCAAATATGAGTAATTGCAATTTTAGCCACCTGATATTTGACAAAGGGGCCAAGAACATTAACTGGAGGAAAGACAGCATGTTCAGCAAATGATGCTGGCAAAACTGGATCTCCACTTGTAGAAGAATGAAACTAAACCCCTATCGTTCACCCTGCACAAAAGTCAATTCCAAATGGATCAAAGACCTCAATGTAAAGCCTGAAACTCTGAAACCATTAGAAGAAAACATTTGGAAAAACCTACAAGATATAGTCGTAAGAAAGGATTTTCTAAACCGGACATCAATTGCTCAGGAAACAAGGGCAAGAATTAACAAGTGAGACCTCATTAAACTAAAAAGCTTCTGTACAGAAAAGGAGACAACCAAGGAAACAAACAGAAAACCCACAGAATGGGAGAAAATCTTCACCAGCGA